CTGAGCTAACATCTGTTGCCAGTCTTCCTCTTTTTGCTTGAGGAAGATTGTCCCTGAGCTAACATCTGTGCCAATCTTCCTCTATTTTTGTATGTGGGATGCCACCACAGCAATGGCTTGATGAGCGGTGAGGAGGTCCACACCTGATCTGAACCTGTGAAGCCCAGGCTGCCGAAGTGGAGCGCATGAACTTAATCACTATGCCACGGGGCCGGCCCTGAACTCATAGATTTTTATTTATATGTGGGGTTATTTATTTTGTGCCTCAAATTATTCTAGTTTTGGCCACTGGGAGCTCTCTTGGCTGGCTCCTGTGTCCCTTTGTCATACCCCCATCATTGTGTATGTTTTAAAATTATTTTTATCAGTTCCTTACTTTCTGGCACTACAAATGCTCCAGGCTCATCTGGTATATTTCTTTCCCAGTCCTAGAATTGTCCATTTCTCCAAGGAGCTCTGGTTCCTTTTATTAGAGAATAGTATTAGAAAGTAAGATCTAGGTGCTAGGTGTGCTCATTGCTACAGGGATGTTGACCTTGGGCCCTATCAGCTGACAGAGCAAGGAAATATATGTTATACTAACTTGTGTATATATACATGTTTATACATATTTCTGTATATAACCATCTGTATCTGTATTAAGCTAAACATGAATTTATAATGATGTCTCCAATTCTGATCCATTACCACATGTATCATTCAAACCTCTACCTCTTGCTTATCTGTAAACTCCTACTCCAGCAGTGAGAAACCTGGCTCCCAACCATTTGCTATCCATTTACTTAATTGTTCAATTTCAGTATACATGTATAGGAGTATAAGAATTGTTAACCTGTGCTCTCGTAGGAAACAACTTTATCACCTAGAGTACAGTGCTAATGTAGTTTCTTTTGCCTTTAGTTTTACAGACTGTACTCACTTCCTACAATTGTCTTTTGACATTCTATGTCTTTTGACATGTAGAAAATCTTGATTTTTTCCTGTCTTGTTTCTGGTCACGTTACTGAATCTTCATATTTATTCTTATTAATCCTTAGAGTTTTCCTGTTGATTGTCTTGGGATATCTCTATCCCTATCTATCTATCTATCTATCTATCTATCTCTCTATCTCTCTATCTCTCTATCTCTCTATCATCTATCTATATCTATAATTAATATTAATATATTGGGATATATATATTATTTGAAGAAATAAAGTTTTCTCTCCTCCTTCTCAATAGTAGTATCTATTATTAGAGTGTCTGCCTGTAGGAATCAGGAATGTAATGTCTGTGACTGACCCTAGTCATAGAAATGCAAAAATTACAATTGTATTTGTGGCCAGTAAATAGAGACTATAAACATTGTTAAATTGTCTTAAGATAAAGAAGAGAAGAGAGAGAATATTTCTTTCTAGTTACTAGTGAGGCAGAAAAAACAAATGGCTTTGTTGGAGACTATCTGGGAGATTTTCTTTTATTTATATTTACATATATGTTCTTTTTCTTGTTATCATAATTCTTTTGTCTTTAGTGTTTATTTAAACTGAGGAAGAGGATCTCAGTGATAATCAGTTGTTCAGCTCCAAATTTTTTTAAGTAGATCTCCTAAGAATGTAATATTTAGTTGAGAAGCTTGGGTGACTTCAAAGCTTGTGAAACATATATGTTAAGGAAAGTTGTTTTTTTTTTCACTTGCTGTAAAATGTTTGTTAATGGAAATTGAATATGCTTACCCAAACTGTCAATGAATTTACCAGTCTCCTGTAAATTATTTCAAAATCATATACAAAGTGTAGTTTCCCTTATTAGAAATGCTAGGCTTGGTTCTTTGATACTTAATTGCATTTGCTAGAAAAATAAGGGAATAGTGTTAAATAATGGTGACAGTAATCTAGGTTTAGTTGTTTTTTTTGTATGTGTGCGTGAGGAAGATTGGCCATGAGCTAACATCTGTTGCCAATCTTCCTCTTTTTGCTTGAGGAAGATTTGCCCTGAGCGAACATCAGTGCCAATCTTCCTCTATTTTGTATGTGGGTCACCCACCACAGCATGGCTGATGAATGGTGTAGGTCTGTGCCCAGGATATGAACCCGTGAACCCCGGGCTGCCAAAGTGGAGCACGCCGAACTTAACCACTAGGCCACCAAGCCGGCCACAATCTGGCTTTAGTTTTATGTAAATGGCATATGTTTCACTTTTAAATTTGACATTGTCTGTTGGTAATGGTTCCTATATCAACTTTTAAGTTCAAGGTAGACAGATACTGGTTGTATCCTCTATCTTTAGTTCCCTAAGATTTTTTTAAGAGAGCTGTTTTATTTAAAATAATAATGTCTGTTTATTGTCCCTAATGCTTTTTTTTTAAGCATATATTAAGATTATTATATGAATTTTCTTATTGGACCTACTATACAATGACTTTCATATTTGATTTCCTAATATGAAACAATTCTCCCATTTCCCTGATAAACTCTGCTTAATCATAGTTGATGATTCAATTACTACTAAAGACAGTTTGCTAATATTTTACTTAGATATTTCTTATATTCATAAATGTAAATGGTCTTTTCTTTTGTGTACTATTTTTGTCAAGTTTTTGGCATCAGGATTTTGCTAGCTTCATGAAATAAACTGAATATCTTTCCATGTTTTCCTGTTTTTCTATCACAGTTTTAATCATAGAAATAATCCATTCTTTGAATGGTTGAAACTATGCACTTGCAGAGTCATTTGAGCCTAGAGTATACTGGGGGCAATTCCTTGATAACTTTTTCATGATATTGGTCTATTCTGGTCATCTATTTCTTTCTTGTGGTCAAATTTTATTTATTTTTGTAATTTTTTTTTCAATCTTCCTCTTTTTTCTCCCCAAAGCCCCAGTGCATATTTGTGTATCATAGTTGTAGAGTTGTAGCTCTTCTATATGGGACACTGCCTCAGCATGTCTTGATGAGCGGTGAGTAGGTCTGTGCCCAGGTTCCAAACCAGCAAACCCTGGGCTGCCGAAGCAGAACATGCAAACTTAACTGCTACGCCACCAAAGTTAAAATTTCCAGAAAATCACCAGGACAGGCAGAAGTCTTGACAGACTGAGTTAATATAAAGTTCAGGATTTGAAAGTAGCCCAGTATCTTCTCAGTTGGTTTTCTCTGCACCCAATATCTTTGACTTCTAGTACTATTTATGTCTATTTAGTGCTTTGTGTAAGGAGACAAATACCTTGGCACTGGACATCTTTGTTAATCATTCCAATTTATATCTTAAACAGTTACTATGTGACCTCAGCCAAGTTACTTAATCTCTCTATGCTCTGGTTTCTTTGTAAAGCTGAGATAATCATAATGTTTACCTCATAGGGTTATTGCTAAGATTATATGAAATAGTGCATATAAAGTGCTTATTAGTAGAGTGCCTGACAAATTGAAAGTTTTTCAATAAATGTGCTTTTTCCTAAGATTAATTAAACTATTAAATTTATATTATATTCTATTATTATATTTTATATTATATATAATAATATAAAGTTATATTATTATATTTTTCTAGACTAACTAAACTATTACATCTGCCAAGTTCTTGGTAGGTATTTAGACATCCTAGTTTTAATCGTTCTGCATCATACTTTTCAGATCCAATTTTAATATTTACTTATTGCGGTATCTTAAAATTTGGAGAATTTAGGACTTAAAAAAGAATGAAGAAAAACAAGGGAAAGGAAAGTGATGTTAATAATGAATTATTGCTGTGGTGAAAAAGTCCCCCAAAAAAGGACATTAAAAGAATAATCTTTAGCTAGCTATCAGCTAACAAAAACAAAGACTGATCAATTTAAAAAGAGGAGAGAAATCTTGATTATATTCATTTCTTATGAGAAAAATAATTACTTTAGGTAAATTGTAATGGTTCTCAACTTTGGTGCTCATCTGGACTACCTAGGGAGTGACAGATTCTGCTTCATTAGGTTTGAGGTAGAACCTAGGGCTTTATCAAATAATGATGAATGCTCCAAAGAGGATTCTAATCACCCCAAAGATTGAGAACAACGCGGCCAGTGGAAAACTCATTAGGTTTGAAGTCAGGAGGCTTCAATTTCCTACCTGGCCATTTTCCTCTCTTTGGGCTTCCTCATCTGTAAAAAGGAGGATCTTAGAATACATACTGTATTTAATCCTTCATAGCTCTAGAATCAAGATAATTATGATTGCAAAACCTAACTCAGATGACTGAGGAAAACTAAGTTTAATTTTTTCTTTACATGTAGAATACTGATAGAAGTAAAGTATTAATAAAGGCACCCATTTTGAGCAAGCCGTATTTCCGCTTTCATTCTAAGGTGGACTTCATTTTGGCTTTTAAAAAACTGCCAGCTATATTGCTGTTATCCAGGGGCTGTAAAAACCTGGGCAAAGTAGCTATCTTTCTATGGCTGTTTTTTTTTCTCATCCTTAACATCTCAGCCCTCCTGCCTCCTGATCTTAGGGGCCTCGGACAATTTAAAAACCTTATTTAAGAAATATTTGGTGTCTAGCGTAAAATGGTATGCTTGATGCCGAAGAGAAATACCAAGAAGTACAAGACACAGGTCCCTGCCCTTCTAGAGCGGGAAATTCGCATGAAACGGACTAGCCGTGACTTTAATTTTCGGTCGGTAACAACCTCTCCTTTGTTGGCCTTTAGCTATCAAGTCCATGAGCTGCTACAACTGCTGTGCCACTCGCCCAGCTAATTCCTAAACTGCCATCTTAAGGCGGAAAATACAGAATTCTATTTTATTTTCACTTTTAAAAGGGTGAAATTAAGGAAGGTATATTCGGGTTTGCTATTTGAAGTGTTCGCAGAGGGGATTCCTTTACCTGTCCCAGGGACGTTTACCTAATAATCCCACCTGCTCCCCAAGACAAGCCCCACTTCCCTTCCAGGGTTCTAGGTGAAAGGTCCCACTGCCTATTCATCGAGGGCTCTCGCCTTCGCCGCCGCGGGGTGGGACCTTGAGCCCGGTTTCGGAAGCCCGCCCCCCGTACGTGGCATGCGTGCGTGGCGTCGTGCGGCGCGGGCCGGTTTCTCCAGCGTGTAGCGCCCCCAGGCGGCCCCGGGGGCCTCAATGTGATAGGCCGCCGTGAGCGCCCGCCATGGAGCCGCAGAAAGAGGCGCGAACACCCGGGGACCCCATCGAGCGGCCGCCTGGGGCCTCGAGGTCTCAGACACCTAACGAGGAGAAGCGGCGGGAGCGCGGCGCAGCGGCGGCTGCCCTGGGCGCGGAGGCGGAAGGCTCCAGTGCAGACGGGCTGTGGGAACTGCCGGTGGAGCCGACCGAGCGGAGGCCCGAGTGCAGCCGCTGCAGGTGACCGCGGGGCGGGGGGGGGGGGACTGAGGCGGGCGGCGGCCTTCGGAGGAAGCTGTAGCGCCCCCTGCCGCGTAGGCGGCTGCTGCGCCTTCGGCCCCGCGGAGCGCTGGCTCTGGCATCTGCGCTTGAGGCGGCGGGTCCGCTGGTTGTCCTTGGAATCACTTTGAGCTACCTGTCACAGCTCTTTAGTAAGAAGCCATTTATCCAGGTTCATGATATATAGCCTTACTTCCTGCAAGACGCTGAGCGTTTCATGGGCTGAGCAGACATGAGTTCTGCTGTCAGGAAACTTAAGAGTCTAATGGGCAAGTAAGGGCATAATGACAATAACATTTGCAATAGTTAACACTTTTATGCTTAAGTGACATAGTTATCTCACAGTAAAAAAACCAAAAAATGGATTAGAGAAGAGAGACAATCAAGGTGACCATTACAATAGTTAAGATTGTAGTATTGAGAGTTCTGAATTCACGTAGATATATTTATTGAGCACCTTTTATGTGCTAGGCACTGTGCTAGGTCCTGGGAATGCAGGCATGGCTAAAACACGTTGTCTCTGCCTTCATGGTGGCTCTTACAGTCTAATGAAGAGACAGTTTATTAAACAAGCAACAACAACAACTAATATTATTGAATGCACACAGTATGCCGGATTGTTTAAGTTCTTTTCAGGATTACCTCATTGTGCTGGTGTACTGCAGGACTGTGAGGATTGCTCTACCTGCTTGTTTGAATCTCATGCTGTTCACATATACTACTCTCTCTACCTCCTGGGTGTTCAGGATCATTTCCCTCGGTTCCTGAAGGTCTCCATGTATCACCTATCTCTCTGTTCCCTTAACAATTTTAACTATGAGATAGTGCCTTTACTTCCTCAACTCGGAATCACTCTGCAGTTTGTCATCAGATCCTACACTGCTCTGAAATGGCTTTCACTGAAGTCACCAGTAACCTCCATGAGAGGAAATCCAGGGGATTCTTTTCTGTTCACTTTTTACTGGACCTGTTAGTACCATTCTGCAGTTGTTACTCACTTCTGGAAGCACTCTCTTTCTTTGGCTTCCCTTTGATTTATCTGATTTCTCTGTCCTAGTCGTCTTTGCCTGTTCTACTGAAACTCTAAGTGTTGGGCTTCCTCAGGTCTTCACTTCTCTTCTAACCCCACACACTTCCCACAGGCGATGTTACCAGTTCTCATGAGTAAGTTATCACGTCTACCCCAGACTTGTCTCCTGAGCACCAGACCTGTAGATTCATTTAACCAGTGTTTATTGAGAGCTTTGCTACTCACTGGTAATACGTGGAGTCTGTGTCCTCATGAAGTGTTCAGTCTGTGATTGGATACAGATAATAAATCAGTAAATAAACCACCAAACGTAATTACATTGGGGAAAAAAACAGCAATAAAGGAAAGGAATGGGATGCCATGATAGAAAATAGCAGGATGGTGTCAGGAAAGATTTCTGGAGATAGCATTTATATTGAAAATTGAAAGGTAAGAAGGATCCAGCCAGGAGAACAGCATTGCAAGAAGGGGAACAAGGACAGACTGATTGAATGTCTTGACCACTAGAGTACTTGGAGTATCCTACCTTGGACATTTTGACCTTTGCCAGGGCTGGATTGTAAGACCTCAGAGGAAGGGATCTTGCGTGTAAGGCTCTTTTTACATTTTCTAAATGTACTGTGTATAGTAGGCACTCAAGAGACCTTTGAGGATGATCATTAATTTGTGTCTAGAAAGGACTGTATCTCAACAGAAGGGATGTGTGAATACAATTTATTTAAACAAGTTGTCTAAAGATGTTAGGAGATAACACTAAAAATGCTGTGAAGGGATCTTGATAGGAAGCTGAAAGAAAAGTGTTTCAAACATGAATCCAGGGCTAAATTATTATGCTAGCTTTATCATATAGTTTTTAGTGAATGGAGAACTGTTGATTATAAATGCTGTATATAGTTTTTTAAAAAAATTAGTCTGTGTTTAGCGAAGATTTATAATTTTTCTGATCTGCTCTCCTCCTTTAATAGACTTTATTTTTTAGAGCAGTTTTAGTTTTACAGCAAAATTGAGCAGAAAGTACAGAGATTTTTCCCTATACCCCCTGCCCTAACACATACATAGCTTCCACCGTTATCAGTATCCCCCACCAGAGTGGTACATTAATTACAATTAATGAAATTGACACATCATCATCACTCAAAGTCCATAGTTTACGTTAGGGTTTACTGTTGATGTTGTGCATATTTTGAATTTGGACAAATTTATAATAATATATATCCTCCATTATAGTATCATACAGAGTATTTTCACTGCCCTAAAAATCCTCTTTCCTCTGCCTTTTCATCTCTCCGTACCCCCAATCTGATCTGCTTTTTAAAAAATAAAAATGACTTGCTGGATTTTAGCTTGTTTTCAGTTACATTTAGTTAATACTTTAGGATTATGATTCATTCCAACATTTCTGCACTTTGCTTTTTCCATTGAAATTGTCTGCCTTTTAAAAGCTCTTCTCCCCCTTGACATGCTATGCATTTTGTTTAATTGGTTTGAACACAGTTCTAGAAATATGGAGAATATTTAGGTGTTATCAATAAAATATAAACTAATTGATGGCTCTTTATATTTTATTTCATTAGACTGTTAGGGTTTTACTAGTTCCCTGGGTGAACTTCTTTACATTTATGCTTATCATAATTTTTAAAACTAAAGTGCTTTGTTAGATTTGAGTGATCAGTAAGTCACAGTTATTTGGCCCTTTACTTAAAACACCTTATCTATTCACTTCTCTGAACACATTACTATAAATGTCACAGCCTAGGGAGTTCCATAAATTGGTTTTATCCAGGAAGTGCAAACTCAGTTTAACTTCTCAGCAGAATCTTGCTTGTTAGAAATACAACTTGTCTTAAACATGAATGGAATATTCTTTAGAAGACCCCAAACTAATTTGTTATTGCAAGGTACAGGTTTTATAGAAAGTGTGTTCCTGTTAGAGGGAACAGCATGTGCAGGACTACAGTGTATAGAGTATAGTGTATTTGGAGAGCTTGGCAGAAAGGAGGGAGTGGTAAGAGGCGAGGCTGCAGAGATTAGAGGTGGTTGCCCTGGGAAGGGCCAAATAAGCTATGCTAGAGAGTTTGAGCCTAATGCTCTAGAACCCAACCAACCAGCCACTGAAGTATTTTTATATTTGAGTGGTGGTGACGTTTGACTTTTATAGGTGGCTTTTAGCTGTCATAGTTTATTTTATTAAAAAAATGCAAACTGGATGGTGATACAGTGGTAAAAGGCTTGACTGGGAAGGGTCTCTATCCAGTAAAGATGCTAGACATGTTAATTATATTTTTATATCTTTTGTGTGTATTGCTGTGAGCCTGTGGACAAGAGTTAGAAACCACTTGCAAATCACTGGTCATAAGAATAATGGAAAAATGGCTAAATTCAGAGTATTTTTAATCTCTCTGAGGGAGGGAAACAGCAGGGAGAGCCTGCACACAAACTGACGCAGATAGACTTGGAGACCAAGTCCCCTCTCCAATGCTTTCTTCCCAGGAAAGTTGTAAGGATTGTAATAAACCACAGTACTATATTTAGCACCCATTTATTAAGCACTGGCCATCTGCAGGTTACCTACCAGGCTTAGGTATTTTATGTATGATATTTTATTTATTTCTCATAACAGCGTTCTAGAGTTGATGATATCGTTAGCTTTTAAATGATGAGGAGGTAGAGGTAACAAGCAGGTAGCAGAGTTGTGTCTCCAGCTCCAGTCCGCTTGGCTCCCAGGCTCGTGCTAGCATTTGTGCTTGCCCATGTTCCGTGCTTGCTGAAGAAGCCTTACAATTTTGTTTGCAGAGTAGGTGTGTAGTCACCAGTTGAATTGGAGCCACTAAGGCTGCAAGAGTAGCTCTGATTTTCATACTTTTTAAGCTAAAGTCTCTTTACTTCAAGCTTAGTCACAAGATGCCTGAGCTTTAGTATTCTCTAGCTCCTTTTTTAAAAAAAATTGAGATGTAATTGAGATATAACATTATGTAAATTTAAGGTGTTGATTTGATATATTTACATTTTGGAGTATGATTACCACTGGTAGCGTTCAGTATCGTCACATAGTTATCATTTTTTTTTTTTGTGGTGAGAAGATTTAATCAGTAATTTCTTAGCAGTTTTGAACTATATAATACGGTATTGTTGACTGTAATCACTATGCTGTGCAGTAGATCTCCAGAACTTATTCGTCTAGTTCCAAGTTTGTACCCTTTAACGACATCTACCTGCTGTATTTCATGTCATAGCCTTTTCCTTATTCTTTAGGCTTGGCTATTCTGGAGAAAAAAGCAATGGGGATAAAATCATGAGAGAGGGAAGGAGGGAAGACTGCGGATATTTAAGAATACAAGAGCCACAGACTGGCAGCTCATAAATGTTTTGAACTGTTTTTTTTTTTTTTTTTTTTTTATCAGTTTTTAAATTAGTTGCTAACAGTTAAAAATCAAGATGTTTTATATAAAAATCAGATTTCTGGGTTCTATGAGAATGAGAAGATCTAGCAGCTTGGGGGCCCCCTTCCTGAGCAATACATAGTTGGCTGAGCTGAGTATTGGCTGTGCTCTTAGATGGGACATGATCTGTCCAGGTCACCACAGCTCCCAGTCATTCCTGCTTAATTTTTCTATGATTAACTGCCTGCTCCTCGTAGGGATTTGCTTTTTGATGCTGGGTCTCATGTACATCATTGTGGCTGGTCTGCCTGAGCAGCAGGGTAAATCAGTGTGCAAGTTTGGTAGGGAAAAGTGTAATTTCCAAGGCAAATAGTTTAGAATAATTAAGATTGTTGAATTGGTATCAACACTTAGAAAACAAACTTTTGGTAAACTTAAAATCAGCTAGATTATTGATGATAATTTTTAGGGTAAAATCTTAGATAATCTGTAAATTTAACTCCTTGTGCATATCAAAGTTATCCTATTCTGAAGAGAAAATTATTGTTAAT